ATTTCTGGATCATATGAAATGTGAGTATTTAATATGTTCTTCTCTTTCCTAACTTCTACGTATCTAAAATTTAGCAACAATAACCACTTCATAGTTAATTTTGATGCCCACTCCAAGTTAATTACTTTTACTTTGAGGACCCAACTTTAATATGCTAAGTCTTACTGACTAGTATTAAAAAGTTTTCTGAAAGTTCTGGGGTATATTTTGCAGACTTCAAAACTTATAAATATAATTCACTGTTTAAAACAATGAGCAAGAAAGAGCAAAAAGGTAGTCATGGTGGACTGAAGCAGCCATGAACAACCAGAGGACTGGTAAAGGCCAGAGTTGGGTCAGTTTCTGGTGGAGGYCCCCACTTCTCTCAACCACAAGTCTTGCTACCTCGCATTTGACCTCCCTCTTATTAACTATCCTCCAAAAAACAGCTAGAGAGATCTTTCCAAAGTACACACTGGAACAACATTGGGTTACTCCCCAAAGGACCAGTGAAGCCCCCTCCTCAGGGGGATGATGCRGGCCTCTCTATGGGGATCCCCCAGCCCACCTCCATGTGCTCTTYATGGTGCCCCAAACCCCTCACCTCCGTGGGAATCTTCTGCCTTTACTCTATGCTTCGATCTAACGACATCTCCTCCACGAGGCATTCCGCAATTCTCTCAGAATTAATCATTGCTTCCTCTGGAAGCCTCTGCATCACCCTGTTTCATTTCTCCTGCAGAGCACCTAGCTATGGACAGTCTACCAGAGAACTAAGAGAAAGGGTTAGTGTCCCCCCAAAACACAGGCTGTGCATGTTCAACTCTCTATGCCTGATATTTATGAGGGCCTAGAATACACTGGGTTCCCATGAAATGTTTGTGGGCCGCAGTCATCATGTCTGTACTTTTAAAGTTCAAATCTATGAGAAAGTCTTACACATTTACGACAGTAATTTTTCTTTTGCTAAAATTAAAATGAAAGTCCACACATTGGGGGTGAAACTGGCCTGCAAACAAGCACTCTGAGAACCACTGCAGTTAGCAGTGCAGAGCTGACCTTTGGAAGGTATTCTAACAGATTTTTAAGAGTTTGCAGCTAGGATGACTCATCTGTGGGCGTGACAGAAGAYTGACCACTATCTCTAGGAGGCTTTTCTTCAGGGGAAAGTAGAGAGCAGTCCACAGAACTTAGAGCATGAGCTTCAGTGGGTCTGGCCAGTGGGACTGTCCAGAGGCTGATAGGCACAGCATGAGAGTCGTCTCCTTTTCCTTCTGCCTAAACTAGGGTGGTTTCTCAAACTCTATTCCATAGAACAGCCAAAGAGGACATGGCTACACATGTGAGAGAGTGAGCTTCAATTAGAACAGTTTTTACTCATTCAKAGACTGAAGGTTTTAGTAGAATTTCAATTTAAAAAATGAGTTCTGCTGCCTTTCAAAAAGAATGGCAAACCAGTAGCCTCAGGGATTGTGCCACACTCTTCCTTGGGAAGTAAGGAGAGGCTTAGAAGTAAGAAGATTCACAAGGAAGCTGCACAAGCCCCTGGGCCCAGGTGTGGACACAGAWCTTTTCAAACTCTGTGGGAGGACAGGGAAATGTGAGCATGGCTTTGGTCTCCACAGGAGAACCACAGACCTGTGTTCTGTGTCTGCCCCTCTGATTTCTGAACATGTGGAACAGCGATAACCAGCCTGGTGGAGCAAGTGTCCACCAAGGACAGACCCTGGGATGGAGAGTCATCAGTCACCTTTTCCAGGAAGACTCCAATATCTTCTTCTGCAAAGTACAGCATGTCATGTAATCTTGGGTACTTCTGCCACCCCAAACTTCTTGCCCAGAAGCTACCCTTGTTGCCTTCGGGGATGACTTCATGTTCGTGTTTTGAGTTTATTTCTTTAGTTAGCATGGGAGGCCAAGAAGACTATGGCTCTCAGCCCCAAGATGAACTCCAAGAGTCTCCTCCCATCTCCTCACCAGAACCCAGCCGAGTGCAGATGGGGCAGTGAGCCCAACCTCTCCAAGAATCAACAGACTGAAGGCTCATCCTTGTACCGTTTGATCAGGACGATGAAGGATGAAAAATGTCCATGGGAGGCAGGAGCAATATTGCCATCAAGCAGGTTTAAAAGCCACCACTCTCCTACAACTGTTGCAACATCCTCTGAGTTGGTGACACAGTGGTTCTCCAGCCAGGACCATCCCCTAAATTACTGATGATCACTATGGTGTCAGTCCCAAATGAAGTCCAAATTCTGGCCAATTGCTCAAAGGGAAAATATGGGCTCCCAGTGGCGAGCTGGTAGCAAGTCTGTACACTCAGCTCCAAGGAGCATGGGGAGAACCCGTGATCTAAAGTGTGTTGGTATGGCGCCTTCTGCTTGAGAACATCTTCCCATCTCCACTAGATGAAAGCCCACGGCAAAGGAAAGCAGTTTAGAATTCAGGAGGATTTGAATTCAGACTCTGCCTTAGCCGCTTACTAGCTGGGTGACCGAGTCTCACATTGTAGTGAGCTCAAATGAGAGAGCATGTAAGAAGCTCYGCACCGAAATAAAACTGCTGTCTTTTAATTCCCAAACTCAGAAGCACATCCTTTGTGAGCTCATCCCTAAGATTCCCTGCACGTTTCATTGTGGCTCTTTATGCTAACCCCAGTGTGCCCTAGGTTTCACATTCCCATTCACATGGCCAGCACTGTAGAGGGAGTTGGCTGCTGACTTCCCATCAGGACGAGCTCTGTGCCCGGAACCCTCAACCCGTATTAGCTGATGGAAAAACAAAAAACTCCAGTTCCAAGAATAATGTGGTAGGGAAGAAGGAAAGGATCTAAAAGAAGACAGAGATAGTTTGGGAGCTTACATGCTGTATCAGTTGCTTTTCTGTAGCCTGCTTCTACCTCCTCTTTGTGTCTGCCCCAAAGAGTGGGATAGTGCGGAAAGTGTGGGGAAAGTTTTCTTCTCTTTCTTTTATTGGGTCATTAGAGCTGTACATAATGGGGTGATTCATTGTTACATATTCATACACGCACACAACATGACAATTTAATTTGGCCAATATCATGCCCCAGTAGTTCCCCTCTCCCTCTCCTCCTCTCTCCCCCTGGTCCCTTTGCTCCACTGAACTCCCTTCTATTTTCATGAGACACCACCCCCCATCCTTTTTTTCCTTTTTTCTTCTCTAGCTTCCAGAGATGAGAAAAAAACATAACCCTTGACAGAAAGTTTGTCAGGTTTTTTGTTTGTTTGTTTGTTTGTTTTAAAGGAATAATTAACAGTACCCAACATCTCACATTCCCATTTGCACAGCCAATTCTGTGCTAGGGTGTTGGTTACTAATTGCCCACCAAGATGAGCACCATGCCTGAACTCTCAAGCAGGATTTATACCAATTTCTGCCTGTATGTACATGTATAGAGCAATTGCAAAATTGTTTTCATGGAATAAAATTCATAAAGTCATCAAACAATTTCCCTGTATCTCACRGCGATTTCTTATGAACAGAAGAGCATCGTTCATCTCTTAACAGGGCTTCCACWGCCTAAGGCTGTGTGCCCCTGTGAGTCAAGAGGAAACACACAGTACAGAAGCAATGCATGACCATCTCAGATGAAAACACAAAATTGGTATCTGTAAACTTCTTTGTACATCATTAATTCATTAGCTCAGAGAAACTAGAAACAGAGTCAGAACGTGAGCAAATACTGGGGTAGTTACATCCACATAGAAAGTACCGCACCTTTGGTTAAAAAGCGGAATCTATGAAGTTATCTTAGTTTTTCAACTGCTCAGCCAGTGCAGCTCCAAGCCAGCCACCATCAGCCACACGTGCAAGCGAGCCAGCATGCTGCCCACTGCAGAGGGCACACCAAATGCTCTTCCTAGCTCTAGTCCTCTGCCACAGCCAGCCTCGCCTGCATTAAAAAAGTTGGAGGACTTGGGGAGAGGCCCAGTGCTCATCAGTGGGCTGTGAGATGGACACTGTTTTTCAGTGTRGAACAAAACCACAAATTTAATTAATGTATGGAGGGAGAGAAAAGCAATGATGTGCTCTAAAAATTATTTTTTACTCTAAACTATAATCCCTTCATGTGAAGTGTAAGTCCTTTGCATTTCTAAAACGCATTAGAGAAAAACAAAGGTCATGCAAGTTTTATTGCGAATTTTAGAAGGGGAAAAGTAGGGAGGGTTTTTTATTTTATAATTGTCCATGCCTTCATTTTTGCTATGAAATGTGTTTTAAGAAACTGGAAAATGAGGCATGGGTAAAAAATTTTAACTGGTACTGCAAACATGAGTTTGATCAAGAGCTTTTCCATGCCAAAGATCCATCTTTTTTGCTTAAGGCCACACTTTAAATTTCTTTTTAATAAGGGAGCCATTCACTTTTAAAAGAACATTAAGCAATGTGGAAGAAATCTGGCTAAAAATACTCTATGTTGGAAGAGACATACATGAAGAAGATGTATTTTTATAAGTATTCTCAAAAATGCATCAGAAGTACAAATCAAAATAATTTCTAAATATTTCTAACAAGTAATTTTGTGATCACTTTGGAAATCAATTTTTTAAAAATAACATCTCCATCAACTCTGCATCTCTGGACCAACTTCTTGTTTTTAAAGCTCTCCTAGCCAAGGGCTGCTTGGTGGACATTCAAAGGCGTTTAAAAAAAAAAAAAATTGTCTTTCTGTGCTGAAAAGTTATCAAGGCCAGCTCTCTGCTGCATTTGCATTGTTATTAGGAAAACACACACACACACACACACACACACACACACACACACTCTCTCTCTCTCTCTCTCTCTCTCTCTCTCTCTCTCTTTTTCTCTCACCCGCACATTGAGTTTAATGTGAGGCTAGTACAGAAACAGAGAGATTAGACACAAAGAAATGTAAACAGCTCTCACATGCGAGGAAACTAGGTTACCAGAATCCCAGCACCAGGCATTCACCAGTCACCATGGAAAACAGGAAGTGAGATGCATAGCAACCACAAGCCAAAAAGCAGAAAAGCGCATACCTTTAGCTTGGAATGAAAATCACGAGATTTCCTTCTGGCAAGAACCTGAATGTGACTAGACACCTGCAGGGTAGGGGAAGGGAGGAAAACAAAGGAAAAGCCTGTAACCATGGAGATGAAAAGCCCCCTACAACTGGGCAAGCCAGACGTACCTTAATGGCGGCTTGAATTTCTCGAACTTTCTTTCTTGCTAAGACCTGTATATGACTAGACACCTACATTGTTCGGGTTTATGAGGGGAAACAAAAAACAAAACAAAACAAAACAAAAAAAGGAAATCAAAGATAAAATCGCTACTCCTTGGGAGGGGTGTGGGGAGGGGGGGGAGGTTATTTGCATCTCAACAAAGCTCCGCAGTTAGGAATACACAGTCCCAGCCAGACACCAAGCCCCCAGCACTGCTCTAAGCTTTTCAGACTGGGTCATCACTGCAGTGACTTGATTCAGGACCAAAGTTGAGGCTCATCTCTGTTTTTCTACCCGGGAAAAATCACGGGCATTGGGAAAAACTTATTATGGGAGGGATGAGAGGGGGAGAGTAGGATTGCTTTCTTTATAAAATTAAAAAAAAAAAAAAAGGTGGGAGTAGTGGTAAATGAAAATATTTATAGCTTCTCAGCATCAGTAGGGAAAATCCCTTTTTCTCGATTTAGAGGAGACGATCCATAAATTAGCACATAGTACAGAATCAAAAAGCTGAAGCTGTCGGTTGTATTCTGATCTCATTAAGAGCTCTGGATTCTGTAGCAAATGTTAAAATAATACTGACATGTAAATTAGATTTCAAAGAGAAATGGAAAGACCCAGTTAGCAGAGCTTTTTTTTTTCTTTTCCTTTTTTTTCTTTGCCCTTATAAATATCTTTAATCCTTCCACTCTTTTGGGTATTGACTGGGTGCCAAGTGGATTTGCATATTATTACAAAGCGAAATGTGTGAATACAGCCAGCCAGCCAGCCATCCTGTTAAAAATCTGGGTTGAAAACCACACGGATTTGCTGAACAACAAATTCACATTGGAGAGGTATCACCAACTGCTGCCTAAAAACATCCCCAGGATGCCGGGGTGTGGAAACGTAGCCAAATCCAGCTTCTGAAACACAATGATTCCACTGGGTAAACAAATTTGCATCTCTTTCAATGAGACTTGGTTAAATTTAGAAGAGTCCCCCAGTGAAGGGGGTCACCAGGCAAAGGACCAGAGCTCACCGGCCAGCAGACAGCCCAGGTCCAGCATTTTCAACAGGTAAGGGATTAGCTTTGCCCATCTCCAAAATTCAGAACCTTCCATTTAGGAGTTTAGGGGCTCAGACTTTAGGGCGATTAACTCATTTCAAACTCTAGTGACTCTAAAAACAGAATTTATGGTAATAAAAGATCCTTTGATCTTTAAATGTCTTTGCATTTCAATTATTCAATTTTCTTTTGTAATTTTTTTTTTTAAGTACAGAGAAGCAGGGACTCCCCCATCCTTTTCACCCCTCCATCTGGCTCCTGCTGTTATTTGTTTTCACCCAAATTTTGTTCCTCTGTGATTCTCTGAATTGATGAGGGCCACCGTGGGGGGACATCCCCCAAGCAGACAATGCCCTGCCTCTGTGCTGGCAGGCAGCCACCCCCTTGTGCTGAGTCAGCACAGGCCCTGGGGGTACATGGAGCATTCCCAGGAAAAGGCCTCAGCCCCTCACCAACACTCACAAAACCCCTCATTGGGAAGGGAACCGGCTGTTGCTTGGTGGTAATGTGAGACCACAGGTTAGCTTGTATTTTTTGTTTGATTATTATTATTTTTTTTAAAGACGGGATTCAAGTTGCCCAGGTTGGCTACAAACTTACGATCCTCCCATCTCAGCCTCCCAAGTTGCTGGGATTACAGGCGTGCGCCACCACACCTGGCAAACTACATTTTATAAAGTTGTGCCATCTCATTCAGCATAGGTCAACACTTGAAAAAACAATTTTTTTTGTTGTTGTTGTTAATAACTCACCCATGAGATGTTTTTTCTGTTTTCCTTTCTCTCTTTCTGTTTTCAGTTAAACACTAACTAACTAACTTCTCATCCATTCCAGTTCTGAACTGGGTCACATCAGTGATTTGGGCTGCTTTACATCTGAAAGGGCCAGGAAAGGCAGAGCCCTGGCAAAGGGCAGAGGAGAATCCCTGCCCCTGCCCTGCACAGAGGTATTTAAGTTGTAACTTCATTTCAGTCACGGCAGCTACTGACAAAAAGCCATTGCTTAAGCGACAGTGCCCTGGATGCACATCATTCAGTATCACGCTTGGGCCGATACTCAAGGCTGCCAGCGTTATTTTTGCATTGAAAGGATGACTAATATGTAATTGCTCCAGGATATTACAGTGCACAAAATCTCAAAATTGCATGACTTGCAGGTGTAGTTACACCTGCAGCTTTTGCAATGTTGACAGATACATGTTTTGGGAAAGAAATGCCAGCTTTGAAATACAGCATAAGGACAGCGGAGACACTGTCCTTCGCACAGAAACTTTCCCACATCAAATGAAAAGAACTTGAGAGACCACATACTCAAGGGTCACTGAAATGATGAACAGTGAAAACAGCCAATTTGAAACACCTACAATGCTGATGTCCTTACAGGGAACTGGGACTGGGGCTCCTAGGAGCCAAAGCACAGCAGCCACTGCAGCCAGATGCCTCCTGGGGCCATTCGCGGACATGCACAACTCCCAGGGTGGTTACTGTACCTGCTTTCTGGTCCTCGTCTTCCCTGTCCTGAGTTTGATGTATCTGGCTATCAGTTCATTCCTACCTGAAAGAAAGAAGCATTTCCAGTGAGGTGGGTCACATACCAACACACATGCATGCCCCTAAAAGCCAGAAATCAGCAACAAGAATTTTTAAATTACACCTAGGAGTTTATTCATGATAGAAAGAAGAAAAAAAAAATCAGTATGGGCTGGGGCTGGGGCTGGGGCTCGGGCTCAGTGGCAGAGTTCTTGCCTGGCACACGTGAGGCACTGGGTTCGATCCACATACAAAAATAAGCAAATAAAATAAAAGTCCTGCTGCCCATCTACAACTACAATTTTTTTTTTCAGTAGGATTCTTTGAAAAAATATCTACTAGGGGAAATAAAGAGAAAGGGCACTTAATTTTAAACTTTTGCTCTGTTGAGGCCAGAAATGGATCTTTGTAAACTGTGCCTTTTTGTTTGCATCTAAATGGGTAGTCACTTCGAAAAGTAACAAATATAAAGGATTAGTCTGGAAGTAAACAAAACCAGTTCTGTTTTAGTCTTTTATTTTTCAGGTTCATTTTCCTCCTCATCCCTCATCAGGGCTCCTCCCTGTAGATATGTCCAGTTAAAAGTCATTATTGCCACAAGAGAATGAATCCCTGTGGCCACAGAAGCCCTACAGTGACAAGAAGCTGAGCAGAGTGAAAGCAGTAACTCATGGCACACGATTGTGCCAGTGGAAACCCGACAAACTCCAAGCTTTAGAACCTTTATGGGTTTAAAACACACAGGCATACACACACACACCCCCCTACCTAAAAGTAAACAAAAACCTGCCATCTCTACCCCGACCAGGAGGCTGAGAAGTTACACACAGAGAGCTGAACTTGGAAGAACTATAATAGGAAAATACATCCCCAGAGGCTAGCAGAGAAACGTATTTACTAAGATCCCATGTGAAATAAAAGCCCACTCTGCAAGATGTGGGGCCTTCAAGAGGGTCCAATTTATGACTTCAACTTTTGCACTAGGAACTGAAAATATTTTTACATACTCTGTGCAATAAATGGAAAACTCTCACTTCACAGCACTGCTTTTGGCTGCCTGTAAACTATTTCATCCCACTGTCCCAGATGTTGTGGAACACCTATAAAACTTAAATATATGTAGTATAATATGTAATATAATTATATAATAACATAATTATAGTATAATAGGATTGTTATAATATAGTAATATTAATATTATATAAGCTCTGGATTATTATTTCCAAACTATTTTAATGGACCTGGGTCAATTTCCTTGGAATCCTCACAAAATTGAAAACAGAGGTCTTGATGGACTAATCAATTCCATCCTAATGAGAACTCCTTTGGGCTGCAGCATTCCTTCACATGCTTATTGCCCGCCAGGGGGCTGTCAAGCTGGAGTCCAGTTGTCCTTCCAGGTCCACCCCTCAGGAAGTCTTGAACCACCCAAGTGGGTTTGGCTTTCTTGCTCTACCTGCAATCCATGGCAGCACAACCTGCATTTCTCCCTCCTGACATGTTCCACTCTGTGGCTACAGTCCGAATGGCAGAGCTGGCTATGTCATTTGTGTTCTAACTTCCCAGCTATACTGCACACCCCAAGAGGGCAAGAACTGTGTCTTACTCCCCAGGATCCCCCTTGTACCCTGCAAGTACACAAAGACTGAAAAGGGAAATAACACAGCCTTATGAAGGAGTAACCATGTCCCCAGATCTCCCCAGCAGAGTCAACAAAGAAGGACACGGATGAGGATCACCACGACAGTATGCACATGGACGTTGTGTCTGAGATTCCCATCTCCAACACTGCCCAGAATGTCCTGTAATCATGGCACTCCCTGCCCACCTCCTGCCCATGTTAGGATTGTGCAGGACCTGGTCATCACCAGAAGGCAAATAAATCATGGATTCTTGGAGGCAGAAAATGAGTCATACACTCCCACCCTGAAATTCCAAATCTGCATAAGCCAAAGTCAGCACTTCTGCGAATTGAAGAAGTATCTTGAAATATGTTTAAGAATAAAATGATCTTATTTATTTGGGCTTCCTGTAACTTTCATCCTCAAGYCCTTCTTATTGCTCGTAACAAGAACAAGGCTAGTCCTTCATGTGCCTAGCTGCCTTTCRAATATCAATCACTGCTCAATTCCTCCTGGAGCTACACACATGCTAAACTTCTATTCCTTTGATAACTGTGAAAGGCTTTGGGACATTCCCCGATACCATCCCGTGATCATCTCTCGTCTACTTTCCTTTCAGAGCCTGGAATTCAGGACTGCCATAATAATCCTGCTATGACAGCAAAGTACGCTTATTACCTTCTCTTCCTAAAACATTCTACCTCTGTAAATGCAGCCTAACACTGTGTTAGATTTTTAAGGATCATGATAAGCTTGGGACTTCTAAGTCCTGTTCATATGGGCTACTCCTCAGATACCTCCGTACCATTGCTCCCAGTCTTTTTATACATAGCTGGTATTTTTCAGAGCCAAATGCAAAACCTTACGTTTATTTCTACTACATTTCATCCTGTTAAATTCAGTCTATCATTTGATCCTGTCAAAATCTTCTCAGGTCTCATTCTGTAACTAAATGTACCCTTTAAGGGTAAAGACCTCCAAAATTCAGTTTCCAGGATTGCTTTGATAAGCACTCTCTTTCTGACTTTTGAGAACCACCAATATCTCCTGTAGTGTCATCAGGTCTACTTGTCCATCTCTCAAATGGCTGTACAGATTTTGTAATTTGTCTCAAAGGCTCACTGACAGCAAAGCCTAGCTAGGAGTGCCTAATTACCAGAAGCCAGACCTAGAAGACAATGTCTGCAGACAAGCCAAGCATCCTCCAGCTCAGGCTGCACTGTGCTCCCTGTTCAGGGCTGTCTGAGTGGCCAAGAGGAAATAAATCCAGGACTCTGTATGACATGCAATTTCATCTGAACCTTATCCAGACTGGGGGCCGGGGGGGTGGGGTGGGGGGGAGGTCTCCTGCCCCAAACTTGTTTATTTTCTGTGAATGCAGACAGAAAATGCTTAAGAGACATATAACCTATACAACTATTCTCATTTTTTAATGGCATTTTGTTGAATAAGATCAATATCATGGACAGCCAGGTATGGCCTGTAGACTATGCTAATGGAACCTTCTGGAGTTAGACAAGATCATACTTTAATCACACTTTAACTAAATCACTTGTAAAAAAAAAAAAATCACTATTTTTAGGGCTGGGGATATAGCTCAGTTGGTTGAGTGCTTGCCTTGCATGCACGAGGTCCTGGGTTCAATCTCTAGCACACACACCCCTCCCCGCCCAAAAAAAGTTCACTATTTCTACAACGGGCCCTGAGTAGTCAACATAGCCACATTTTCTTGAAAGCTCATCTCAACTCTCATAAGCCTGTTCTTTAGATGAGCAAGACCACCCTTCAATCGCTTGTGTTCTTTCTTTCATACCACATTTCAAGGCATGAATAGTAATTATTTTAAATATTAGAATTGCCTGTTTTAACTAAGAAAGCCCATTCTTGACTCATAGAAACCTAATACATTTTCTCTAATGCTCTAATATTGCTTCTAAAAAAACTAATAAGATTTCAACTCTCGTAATCTAAATTAATAACTTCATTGAACATTTTAATTTGGAAGTACAAGTTAGCCTGTTATCAAGATCAAATTATTTTAAATAATTTCTTAAAGTAGCAAATATACAAAATCCATTAAATAAAAGCTATCAATGGTATGGCTTTGAGTCTATTAAAATTTGCTGGGTCTAATTCTAAATCTTCCCAGAATTAAGATATACTTACACATTAGAGAAACAAGTGTAGTGTTCCAAACAATTTTAGAATATCTTTTTCACTGCTTAGATTGCAAATATATTAGCAATATCAATTAAGTTATGATTGGACACCCTGAGACCTATTTGCGTTTCTACAGTCCTGCTCTCTAAATGCAGTGGTCTATAGAGCCCTGAATTTGAATCATGTTACTAAGGTGCAGAATTCCCTGACCAAGAGCAGAGGCTCAGCAACACCAACCATCACTGAAGTAACTGGGGAGGGGTCCCTAGCCTGCACAGCATGATCTTGGTTTGCAGCCACAATTCCAATTTTAGATATTAGAAATTTTAACCCTTGCTTCTCCAATTCTTCTTGTGCATGCACACATGAACATGCGTGTGAGCCCCCCCCCCTCACTCTTACACAAGCATATACATGCTTAATCCAGTAAGCCTTATATTACAAAAAATGACTTTAAACAAGGTCAATTTTAAAGTTAATTGCTACTTTCTTAAGCCAATCTTGCATCACTCAAGGATGATCTCCTCCGTGCTTTCTATCATACCTCTTTGGTGAATCAGGGAAAGATGTATAACAAAAGAAGACAGCATGCCTGCCCACAACAGGTTCACTGTCTCATACAAGGGCTACAACCAGACAGCAAATCAGCTTCACACACCCAGTGGCAGCTATTGCCTTCAAAGAGTTTCTGGAATATGCCTGGATAACAGATCACAAGCAATTTCAAAAATCTAGAAAGGCTTCCCCACAGTACTGGAACATAACCCAGGCCCTTAACAACAGGTTATATTTCCTCCCACATTTTATCATGAAATATTTTAGACATACAGAAAAAAATTTACGCTAAACACTATATTCCCCATCTAGATTCTACCACAGGTTGAATATCCCTCATCTGAAATGCTGGGAACTGAAAGTATTTTGAATTTGGGGGTTTTGTATTTTGGAAAATGTACATATCCATAACTAGTATCTTGAGGACAGAACATGTGTCTAAACATGAATTTCATCTATGTTTCACATACACACCTTACACAGCCTGAAGGTAATTTTATACATTATTTTTAGTGCACCTGTGTTTTATCTACAACCTGTTGTATGAGATCCGATGTGGAATTTTCCACTTAAGGTATCAGTTGGCTCACAATTTATTTTTGATTTTGGAGCATTTCAAATATCTGGGTTGAGGATGTTCAACCTGTATTCACTTTTTCTATTCTTGCTCTGTCACCTTTCCTCCCAT